GGGGGGGGGGGGGGGGGGGGGGGGGGGGGGGGGGGGGGTGCCCCCCCTTCCCTTCCTCCCCACTTTTCAAGAAAAGAAGCAAAATAAAAAGAAAAGGCACAGAAATGCATGATAACCGTATCCTAGAGTTCCCTTGCCCCCCCCCCCACACTTTTTCCATCCACACTACGCTTATGCCAGTCGCTAGTAGCCAAGAGCACTGATGCCAGATGGGAATTTATTTTTTCGTCTCAGGTCGATATTGTACTGTGATGCAATGGACTTTTCGATTATACTATTCGCACCCTTGGAGAAAACCGACATCGTTTTTGCCATGCTCGAAATGCATCTTAGGTCACCGAATTGAAGCTACCTCTACCGTTCCGATTCCTTTGCAACTCATCCGCACGTTATTAGTCTCTCGAGTAGTCGCAACGAATGCACAATGTAAAAGGGGTGAGCTTGTTACAATCAATCCGGAAATACTGCAGAATTCTCCATGTTACCGAAAATGTGCTAAAACACCTGTCACTCTCCCGCGAGTAATTCATGTGTGCAAACCCCGCCCTAAAACACGGACCATGCTTGAGTAACATGGCAGCCCACTAGTTCTCCACGTGGATTACGCGCTATTCCGAGGGCTTGCTCAAAAACCAGTAAACCTTTCAATAATATGCGACCCAATTGCAGTAGGCGTAGGCCTATCATAGATCACGTTGCAAAAATATATGCTTTTTTGGAATCAAATTGAATGGCCTTGTATCTCTCTTCTAGTATTCCCCCATTGCATTCCAATGGCCTACTGACACCAATGGAACTAGCACTTCCTTTGGTCTCATGTTTAATTTGAACTGATTCTTAAAAGTTTTCCACAGAGTTGTAACACTAGTGGTGCTGGTGCCTTTATGAGGCTGTGCTAACCAACTTCATGAATATGCTATATGGGATGTGCTGCAATTACTCTTGCCATAACAATGAAGCAATATGTTGATCATACTATATCCAAATACTCGCTTGACCGCAGTAAATGCTTTGGTTTTACAGGAGACTAATAAGTATAGACTTACAAAAGAGGCTTTTGGAACATTTGATTATTTGACACATGTACATTTGCTGTAAATCTGGAGGGTGTAGGTTCTGGAGCCATTAGCCAAAGGTATAACAGATGTAAATGTTTCAGGTGATCAGGTGCTCTCATAGTCACTCCTGCAGGTCTGGGCCTATGGAGCTCATTCAGTGGTAAATAAACACTTGCTGATATCAAGAGTGCACTTAGGTCCCCTTTCAACATTTTGACTGTTTAAAATGGCATAAAACCTCGAGCAATCTAAAAACATGTAAGCTCAATTTAAGAATATATACTTTATTTTATTTTATTTTATTTTCACAATTGTTGTTTCAACTTTATTATCATCATCAAGCTCTCCCATGCAGGCTTTTTATGTACATTTTTTACTTGTTAATGTTTGAATATGTATGTCTTACAATTTTTTTGGGTTGAATTCATATACTCCCATTGGAGCACTTCCATCGATTATTGGTAGTGACACCTTTCAAAAGGGTTGATATTTGAATTGTCTGATGAAGCACATCCATGCACTTGATACATGCATGATGAAAGAGTCTTCACCTTTTCATATTAAGACAATTTAAGGTTGACATTACTAGTGAAGTGCCAACAATATAGTCCAGATATACATCTATTATTATGTATCATGCACTCATGCATTTATGGAGTGTCTCAGAATTCCTGTTAAATCTGTTTTTCTTTTAGTGAAAAGATTTCTCAAATGATTCATTTTATTACTTTAGCCAATACCTTAGCTTTCATCAAGAAAATGAAAATGAAATAAAAACGAGACAGGAATTCTGGGACCATGTACACTATGTCTGGAAGAAAGCTATGAACCTAGATTTTGGCTTCACCTAGTTCTCTTGCCCTTTGTATGCAAGTTATAGGTGAATGTTATCCCTGCCAACAAATTTTGAAATTGATGTGGGATTTATGTAAACCTTACACCAGCCTGTTCATCTAAACTTGCCTGGTTGATTCATACAGGAGCCTGAACAGAGAAAAGACTGAGGTAGCAGGCCTTCATTGGAAGGTTGGTGATGGATTCCATTTTTAATTATGAGCCACAAGAGGATGATGATCTCTATAAACTCCTCAACTGTCATCCATCATCAACGGTAATGGAGTTTGTTTTTCCTTCTTGCTGGGCCAGTATTCTTTTCTTTTGACAATTGCCTTGCTAAAGTGATTCTAAAACTGAAGACTCAAGAGCAGTATTTCATAATACGGTGTTATGTACCTTGTTGTTCAATAAATGTTAGAGCCATTGAAGTACAAGTTTTAATTTTGTGCTACATTATTATCAAGTGATTATGGGGGTTGAACTCAGCAACAAGTGCTGAAGGGCTTCTTTATAGTAAACTAATATCCCACAAAGATAAACATGCCATAAGGCCTCTTAGTGTTCCTTGTTAACTTCATAAATTAAGCATGTAAATCTGCTTCTAAAGGCTGAATATTAAAACTTCTCTTTTGATTCTTAGATAATAATTATGGGTGGTATCCCTCTGAAAATAATAACAGAATAGTATTCATATTCATTTGGCATTGTGATCAGGGGTTGCTCTAAGTTCCTTGCCCTGTCCCCCTGTCCATGTATCCTGGGGGTCCCAGGACACAGGCACAAGGCCTAAGACTACTGGATTGAGTATTATACTGCTTGGTTATATTAAGCTGGCAAATAAACATGGGTTGCTGGACTTTTACTTTTGGGGAACCCTTCAAGATTCCCTCATGCTTCACTTTGAAAGTAACCCCTTAATTACCAGGGGACCCTTCCATATCAGATCTGAGGGTCCTGGGGACCCCTACGGCAAGAAACCTAGCACAACTCCTGGTGATAATTGAAAAGATGGCCAAACACTGCATCTCCTCCAAATGGCTTTGCAGAAAAATACTAGTGGGAGAATCATTCAGCAGAGGTGGCACCATGTTCTTTTTGCCTTTGCAAGGCATAAATTCTTGGTTTTGTTTTAGGGGTCTGGTGTTCACCTTGATTAGTGGTATAGCTTCACTTTTCTTTACCTCTGCCTCCTAATTTGCCTTTAATTTTCTAAAAGATGAAAGGGCTATTTCAGCTATTGCACTCTTTTGATATAGTGCTGTGGGAAGAAAAGAGGCTCATTACTACCTGCTAGTACTTGTTTTTGATCATTCTAGGTTGAATTGGTCGCATTGTTGTGTAATGGATGCTTTACTTTTTACACTTTCTCCAGACAGAGCAGATTTTGAAAGAATATAAGTTGAAGGCTATGACCCTCCATCCAGACAAGAATGCTGGAGACAATAGGTCACAATTGAAATTCCAGAAGCTGCAAAAGGCAAAGGAGATATTGACTGATCCGGAGAAACGTATGGATTATGATAAATGGAAACAGTGTGGGATGGTGATTCCATATTCTGAATGGCTGGCCTTGAAGGACAAGGCTCACATGGTTAGTGGTTGACATTCTATATATTGATATATTCAGCTTATCAACAAAGCATTGACCAGGGTGCATGCCGATTCGAAATACAGTCAACTCTTAATATAACAAACTTGAAGGGACAGGTTAACAAATTTTGTTATAAGGAAAATTCATTATATGGAGGTTCGTTTTACCAAATATCAACTGTACTTGAACCTAATTCAAATGTGAGATTCAGGATTTGTCACAAAAGGGGCAAGTACCCTGGTGCTCATGGTAGTTATGTTGGATTATGTAGAAGAAGCCTTCCTCTTGGAATTTTTTTTAGAAGGAAGCTAATATTTTTCTGAGTTTCAGAATCATCCACATCTAAGTGAGCTATTCACCTTGGTTGATATGGAAAAATCAATGAATGAGAAGCTCCTATGACTCATCTAGAATACAACACAATTTTTAGGTTTAATTTTTAATTTTCCCACAGTCTATGCATTGGGCAACACCCAAGACTGAACACAGGTGTCTTCCTGATGGAGAAGAAGGAAAAGAATCCATCAATACCTCTACTAGTACCAGTACTAGTAATAAGGAGACTGCTCTGAAAGTTACCTCCTTCTCCTCTAGCGATGGCACCATTTATCAGAAGTTTCGCAACTACAAGATCTGAGTGGGAAGGTAAGTGCTGAATTTTTTTATATTGGTGTCAAGTAAATTGCCTGCACTAATTGAAATGAATTTTGGTATTATGAATTTAATGAGAAATTATTTTGAACGAAAACGGCTGGTCTTTTTTATTCCACTCATATGAGAAAATGCCATCTTGTGTCATGGAAAGAGTTAAAATATAGCAGATTTAATCCTGTGCATAGGAAGATGTTTTTTTGGCCCTATTCCTATTGAACAATGAAGACAGAAGATCCAAAACCAGTACCAATTTTGCTAATGGACTCTTTTAGTGGCCATAAATATTTTCCTGGTGGGTAGGTCCTACTTGAATATGAACATTCATAAAAGCTTCAAAGGAGTCAAGCTTCATGAGCTTTGAAGGATGTCCTCTTGGAATCTGCATTCAGGAATACTTTGGTTGTAATGCATTGTGTTACCACATCTGGGTTACTTCCTTGCTTTTGTCCATGTGACTCCTGAATCAATTTTTTTGTGCAGAATTTTTAAATTATTATGAAGTAGGTTCAAACTGCAGATAAGAGCAGATCTTTTGGACCAACATCAGGGATCTTCTTTGGTCGTAATCATGGAAAATATATTCCAGGTCCTCTTCATTCTTCAATTATTTTTTTCATTACAGATGATGGACAATCTGAACACCGGTTCACTGCTTTCTTGGCTGCTTCCTCACACACGCAGAAAGAAGGAAAGACAACGTCAGTGGCAACTCAGGTGTTTCTCGCTTCCATTGCAAATAGTTCAAATGGAAACTATGCATTCCATTGAATCTGCTGCTACAAAGTGCAATATGTCTGTGTTGGTTTCTCTTCCATTTGATGGATGCTGTTATGTCTGGGCTCTGTGAATCAAATAATCACTCCACAATGAATTGGCCTTTTGTGATTGATCCTGCTTGGGGCATATCAGTGACACACAGAAACATGATGCATGAGAGTTCTTTTATAACAAAAGCGGGACGTTTTGAGCTTTTGACCTATTTCGGGATTTCAAGGCTTTAAAAAAGTTTATTTTATGCACAAAAAGAATTTCTATTGCTTTCACATCGGCCGGTAAATAATTGCGTCGGAATTGGCTTTCGTCATGGAGTCATCATGAGACTACGGTTTAAAAAATTTGAAAGATGTGCCTAAATGGTTTGCATTCATGTAGTGAAACAGATTTATGATACCGAGGAAAGGGATAGAGAGATTAAGGTATGACCATGTATAATCAGTAATTATGGTCAAATCCGAGATAAGTATTCCATGTTGGCATTCAGCGTGGATGTGGCCTAATCTACTAAGCCTTCAGAAAACGTCCGTCTGCACTCCTTCGCGTGTTTGAGAAAAATCAGAGAATGCGACGCAGATGACAAGCTTGGGTCCACGAAGAAAAAAGTGTTACTCCCTGCTTCATCATTGTATGTCAACTTTTAGATAGGAAATCGCTTATACTGAAGGTCACTGAGAATCCAAGAAAAAAGTGTATATTTCAAGCAACCCCTGTTGCTGAAGACTTTATCCCCGCTTCGCTTTGGCAATCGACCCTGGACTCAAAGGTTCGCTCAAAGATTAATCCCTCATACCGCGTCCCCGATTCAAATCTTCAATAAACGATATCGTCACTCACGTTAGCGTCAGCCTTTGCACCTCCGACCGACGAAACGCGATCACCGACGAACATCTTGGCTCGCATGAATTTTTGGCAGAGCCTTCTTCCGGTCTTCGCAAGACTGGCTTCGCACAAAGGAACTTGTTATTTAAAAAAAAAATAAATAAATAATAATAAAAATAAAATAAATATAAAAAAAATAAAGAAATAATAAATTGCACGAATTGCATGATATTTAATTTCCGCCTCACTTGGAGCTTCAAAGAATCGTATCGAAATCCAGCTCGGCGTGCTTGGGACGCGAGGGAGATGGCAAAGGCTGACGCTAACGTGAGTGACGATATCGTTTATTGAAGATTTGAATCGGGGACGCGGTATGAGGGATTAATCTTTGAGCGAACCTTTGAGTCCAGGGTCGATTGCCAAAGCGAAGCGGGGAAGGACGACAGTGAGTCACAGACAATGAATCACTGGGTGATTCATACTAGGGATCTTTTTAAGAAAAAAAAATTATTTATTCGCACGACTGTAAGAGTATCTTTTTTTTCGCGGACGTTTCTTTTGAATGAGGAAAAAAATGGGGTATTGCGTAGTTCGGCACCATGACTCATGAGCCCTTTATGAGAATGAAGGGGAAGTCAGAGCGAACGAGAGAGGAGTCGACCTCGATAAATTATTATATGCCCATTCTGGCCCCAAAGATCGATGACGCCTGCATTTGAGAGGGGGCCCGAGATAGTCACATTACATGGCTGGGAAGGAGAAACCCATCCCCTTCGTTCGTGTGCGCCTTCCTGCTGGCAAGAAGGGGACGAGAAGGCGGCACGAAGGCGGTAGTCGATCTCACCAGGGATCGCCCGCCCGTCGGCGTCACGATCGAAGCTGCCAAGTCCTCAAAATTATTGTCGACTTTCGTAGAGAGAAAAGCGCTAATCCGGAAAAAGCAACGACCCGTGTGAAAAATCCATCGAGCAAATCGCAAAATACAGACCGGCAAAAAATCCCCATCCGAGAGGAACTTGCCGAACCAACATGGCACCGCTGGACTCGCCGAGCGGAGAACATTTTCCATCCTCGAAATGCCATCCCCACGCGGCAGACAGCCCAGCCAGCGTGACGAGTCGGGCCGGGCAAGAGTAAGATCATGTGGGAGGAGATCGACGATGAAGCCAACAAACGCTGGAGAGAAGTTCTAAGCCCACGCTAGATGTCTCTCAGGGAAACGGGATCACACTCAAATTATTTTTCCTTCTTCATTATTATTATTTATTTTAAACCCTAAAATTGCAGGGTTCACTGCACTCCGTCTCCATCTTCGACCTCTTTCTCTTTGATTTGAATTGATTTAATGATATTTTGTTTTCGGACTTTTCCTTGGGGATCGAATCGTCCTCAGTGACATCTAGCGAACGCACTTCGAAGCTACAGCTAATAGAGGGCGGTTAGAGATGTCGGGTGGAACTCGACCCAACCGAACCGGTTCGGAGCCAGACGAGATTTTTTTTTAGCCTACCAGTCGAGAAGAACCGGAAACATTATAGAGCGATAACGAGCGCTTGGACGCAATTATAACGAAATAATGCGCGCTTCGAGGCAATTATAATTAAATAACGAGCTGCGAGGTGCTGGCACCTTTCGACGAAGCCCTCCGACCGACGAAACGCGATCACCGACGAACATCTTGGCTCGCATGAATTTTTGGCAGAGCCTTCTTCCGGTCTTCGCAAGACTGGCTTCGCACAAAGGAACTTGTTATTTAAAAAAAAAATAAAAATAAAAAACTTTTTTTTTGCCGTGAAATGACTTTGCGACCGAAAAGACACGCATCATATGCCATGTGCCATTCCTCGGGTCCAAAAAAAAGTTCAGCTTCGTGAAAGGCGTGAAAAGACAACGCCAAGACATATATGATACCAGAAATGCAACCGTCAACTGCTGCATAGGTCACCATCTTCACCTAAACACTTAACGGACAGATGACGCTAGTGTCTGAAGACAAGATGCTGACGCATGTAAACACATCGCGGAGAGTGTACCGAGTTTACCCATCTCGAGTTACCAGTAATTCATCTGTATCAACGGTCCACATACTCTCGATACCCGTCGGAAACGAAGTTCCAGCGAAATAAGGAAAAACAGAAATTCAAGACTGAGTCTCACCACGCCCATCGACGCAGTTCAGATTCAGCGGACGAAACCCGGCCGGCATTCCCCCTCGCTTCAGAGGAGCTACTGACCGACGGACGACCGAGTCCGGCAGTCCGCACCGCCCCCAGAGCCATCTACCGAGTCGAGGCAGAACCGACTGGTTCACCTGCAATACCATTTCACCTCTCGAGACCCGAGCGAGAAGCCGGAGAGACGTCAAACGCAACGTGAGTCGAGTTTGACCTCGATCCTGTTTTTCATCCGCCGTATTTTCATCTACTTCGATTTCCTCCGTCATATCCACGACGACAACCCGATAGGGCTCGGTTCACGTTCAAGTTTCCTCTTAGGCCTACTATAGGCTCTTAGGCCTATATGCCTCCGATCCGAGCGTCTCATCACTCCAACGTTGCGCTTTGGTTTTTCTAATTGGACTCGCGTAAGAAGTGATGATATACAGCAGGGGTCGGGAACCTTTTCGGCCATGTGAGCCATATTTAGACTGAGCTAAGTGCTTGTGAGCGAAAGGTTTTCAGAAAAACAGAAATTTTCCAGAAGTTGGCAGCAGACATGCATTCTTAGATACATGAGAAAAATGAGAAACAACCATGATTTACAGCCATGATTTAATGAGCCAAACTTTTCGGCTCACAAGCCATTGATTCCCGACCCCTGATATACAGGAAAACTACACAGGGAAACGACGGAAGTGCCCTTGCCTCTTTCGGCCTCCTATGACTCGAAAAATGCTTCAGTCTGATTAATCCTGTCGCTTGCCGTTCGCGATTTCCATCACCGCTTTGCAAAATTTCCTCCTCGTCCTGGTGGCACAGTTTCGCACGAACGGACCGAGCAACACTGCTTTCGCTCCTGGCAACACTGTCAGTTCGAATCGTCAGTCAAATTTTGTGATCTCGGTGAGACGGGGTCGCCGCGCCGAGTTCGCAACCGTCTTTTTGTTCCTGCTTGCTTCCCTCTCTTGTTTACTTTCCAAGCGCGACATTTCTCGTGACGTAATTTCAAGGTCATTCGTTAGGTCACGGACGCGCACGCACACCCACGAAGAAAAACAATTACTTTCAGCGTTTCTCAGCCACGATGAGTCAAATAATGTAAGAGTATTTGGCATCTACCCATTCCTTATTTTAAAACGCAATTCCCCAACGCCCTCCGAACTCGTCCTGCACATCCAAACCACATAGACACACACTATAATATCCTCGTCAGTCCTGAGCGAAATATACGTGGCCGTTCGAGTTGTCCCTTGCACGGTAGATTCCAAAGCAATATATATAGGGTTGTTTACAAAGTTCTGGGAATTTGTTAGTAAACAAAAACAGGATGAGTTATTGGACTGTCATTTGTTGATAAAGGCACATGTCTAGCCTTGCATTATTCAAAATATTATGATTTAATTGTATAACTTCGCTGAGTTATGACAATTTATAACAGTTGCAGTTTTGAAACCATTGAAGCCGCAGGGAAATCGCAGAGAGCAATAATATTCTTTCTTTGGAAAGAAGGTGCCACGGGATCAGAGATAGCCGCAAGCCTCAAGGCAGTCATTGGCGAATCTGCGGAACGGAAGAGCACTGCTTACAGACGGATTGAACATTTCAAAGGCCCAAGGACGGTCCTCGCAGCGGTCGCCCAGCATCGGTAGTTACGGACGAAAGCATTTGAGGCTCGAGGAGGATAGCGATGGAAGATCGGCGAGTCAACTGGAGGCAGCTCTGATTTCTAATCTAAATCTTTTGCTTTTAAACTGCTTTTAAAGTAGATTCAGTTTAGATTTAGATTTAGACTAATATTTAGCCTAAGATTTTGATTTAGACTTAGGGGTCTGTCCACGGTGTCGGATGTGACATCCGGAGTAATATTTTTAGTATACGAAATGTATTTAACCATGTTATGGATGACGAATCAGCATATAAAGGCTGTAACAATTTTCTTTGGGTGGTGACTAAAAATTCCATAATCAAAGTCTTCCACTCTCTCTTACGTTACGTTACGTTACCTCTGTACAAAAAGTGTCAGACGTGACATTTCGTGAACCTCAAGTTAAAGTCACTTGCACTAATGTTCGCATATCTGTCATCGAGCGAATCCTAATAATTTAGTTTCATGTTCATTCTATAGATTGAATGAACACTTGAAATTGAGTGTAAGTCACCCCAATATGTCAACACTTAAAACAGAATGGAAGCCTATTTTGTGACGGTGTCGGATGTGACATGTTCTGAAAGTGTATTTTGAAATGAGAAGTCTGTACATATATACTTATTTTATTTTAAAGATATCATTCAAATGTGAACAATTGACATCTATTCTTCACACCTGAGCTGATTTGAAATTATCGGCATGCATGGAAAGCCCATGCTGGCATCTGTTCCAGTAGTCAAATTCAGTCTCTCCAAATTTGCATTTTCATCATATTTTTCAGTATCATGAGATTGGTATGAATAATATATAATAATCATGACTAATTCTTTCATTTTCCAATGTAATATTCTCTTTCATTCATGTCTTTTTGGATAAGAGATGATGAACCTCCGTAGCGAAAGTAATATTTGCATACTTTGGAAAATTTCCGGCGAAAATTCTTGGACCACTTGGTGTGGACAGACCCTTAGATCAAGTTTAGCAGAGCCGAGGAACAGGCCCCTGAACAAAAACTGAATCGCGTGGAAACGTGTCGCGAGCTGTTACAACTCAGCGAAGAATACGACAGTTTTTTTTTTTTTTTTTTTTTTTTTTTTTAGCAGCGTATTATCACCGTGGATGAGACATGGTTATCCTACTTCAATCCCGAAACCAAAGCCCAATCGGGGGAGTGGCGGCGACGTGAAGAAATTCCATGAAAGCTCGTCTGGGAAGATAATGATCACTGCTTTCTGGGATTGCAGTGGAATGATTTTAATTGATTACCTGCCACAGAACACGACAACAAATGCTGAGCACTGTTCTAATTTGCTTTTGGGTCCACTCTGCTGAGAACTGAAAAAAAAAAAGAAACTCCCAGGAAAGCTGCACACTCGTCCTCTGCTTCAATAAGACAATGCGAGGCCTCACACGGCCGGGACGACAAGAGCTGCTTTGGCCGAAATGAGGATCCCCCAAAAGTAACCCCAAGTGATTTCCACTCGTTCGGAGAGTTGAGAAAATCTCTACGAGGTTTACGACACTGGTTGGTACCCGTGAAACATTCACGTCTTCGTATTTGATGTTAAGCGACTTCTGTCCCATTGCATTTCAATGAAGCACACAGCTGGAATTTTTGCCAGTCGTATTTCGGGTGCATCCCCCCCCCCCCCCCCTTCCCCAAATCCTCGAATTTCCCTATATGCCAAATTTCAACAGGTTCGGTTCTGTAATATTCAATTGAGACACACTACGAATTAGGAGCTCTTGCCTCTCGGATGAAGGAGGGGAGACGCGTCCCACCCTCAGAGACCTCCAATCTCCCTTTATAGCAATTTTAAGCGAGTTTTGTCTCAGAGAATTCTTGGGATAACGTTCGAATTCCAAACTGCCAAACTTTGGATCAATAATAGGGGATGCGTTGCGTCATCAGGGAACCTCCAATTGCATGTATGCAAATTCTCAGCAAGTTAGCATTCGAGTGAGATGCGTCGTTCGAATTTCGAACACCCGGGTGTGTGATTTTAAACCACGCACGGGATGAGTTTCAGCTCGGTTGGCAATCGAGATTCCTGTTGGGTGCAGGCGAATACACAGAGATTTTTTTTTTTTCTCCAGCCGCTTACAGCTGCTGGCACGAAGGACATCTCGTTCCGTCAGCACTCGACGCGTTCACGTCGTTAAATGACGTCACTCTCGGGCAAGCAGCTGGAAACGGAACGTAGTGAACTATGAGAACGCTGAACAGGCCAGCACGAATGTGACGTCACGTCGGCTATTATCATTAAATGGCATGAGGTTAGCTTGTTGGGTGAAGGACGCTCCAGTAAATTTTTATTCTGACGGCCTGAAGAAGCTTCTTCCTCGATGGAAAAATTTTGTTGATATTTGGGGGGATTACAGTGAAAAGTGTAAGTGTGATTTCGATGATACATGATATGTCAAAAAGAGAAGGAAATTCCCAGAACTTTGTAAACAACCCTATATAGACATTGGCATGGCATGTTCCTGCACTGTGTCGATTGGAAAAGGAGGATCCGTCCACACGCGTAGCCGAAGGGACTAAAGCAGTGGTTCTCAACCTTCCTTTTACTCCCATTGAACCTTCATGCATTCGGGAGGGGTGACACCTCCCAGGTTGAGAACCACTGGACTAAAAGGCTTCAAAGGGATGCAGCGGAGTGCCGATAGCGAAAGTGGATCAGAATTCGGGCTAAAATTTTAGCTTAAACCACAAATAGATATTTTACATATCATTTCTTTTCCTGTTTTGTGAATAACATCGTGATCAAGGAGTAATTTTTTAACATTTAAATGCAAATTGTGGTTTTGTCTTCGTCCTCGCCTCTTTCCTTTCATGTATCGCATATCTCTGCCTGCAGTTTGAAATTCTTCAAGACTCTTTTGTTCTTTCATGCACAGAGCGAAAACGCACATCGAATTCTCGTTCGTCCCTCGTCCCTCCCTTCCTCCCCCCTCCCTCGTCCCTCCTCCCTCCCTCCCTCCTCCCCCGCACCGGGCTGCGCTCGGCTGAGGTGAGACCAGGTGAACCAGGCTCAAGACAGCGATCACGTCGTGACTGACAAAGACAATGTCGCTCTCGTTCAGCCGGTTCAAAATGGGATCAGAGGACAATTTCTGTCCCTCTGAAGGAACAGGACTATTGAGTTTCTATGACTTGGGTCCTATTGTCCACATTTGTTGGCAAACAATGCAAAAGAACCTTGAATACTTTGTAAATATTTTATCTTTTTATTTATTATACAAATACGCATAATTTTTTTTTAAAGCAATGCATCTCGTCACAATAACTTCAGAAGGAATCGATTATGGACTAGTAGTTTGGATTAATAAAACGTTACCAAATTAAGATGTTATATTTCACCAAACACTGACAAAATAAATAAAAATTTACGACAAGATGCTGGCTCAGGCGTTTTGTTACTGGCAGCTATCTCGACGTGTCCACTTCGTGAGTCGTTGGAAAATTCATCATTTGTCACGTGTCGTTTTTCGTTGAAAATGACGCTGGTAAGAGGACGCTAGCTCAAAGCCATTACTTATGCCAGAAAGAAAATTTGGGTATGTTTGTCCGCAAATGCGTGCGCCAGGTCTGACGAGGGTATCGTGCATGTACATGATACATAATACGATATATTACATAATGTAAATACAGACTCGGTGGTTGGTGCCCCTCGCCCCATCGAATGAATTCTCGCATAAATCGCCACACGAGTGAAATAACGTTTCGCGACGGTTTAGGGCGGGTTCTCGGAGATCTCTTCGTCGAAGGACCGATTTTGCCGAAGCTCGTGACGCCCGGGGACGTCCTCATTCCGGCCATCAGCGAAACGGACGAGCGAGAACGAAAACGAAAATGGAACGGGAACTGGAACGGGATCAGGAACGGGAACGCCTTCGTTCCTTCGCGTTCTCATTTCGCAAACTCGATTGTTTCCTCGCTCGAAATGAGTGCTTGGGATGCCGGGTTTCCGCTTCATCCTCCAACCGGCCTCGTCACGTCATTCGTCACGTCATTCGTCACGTCATCAGATCTTTCTGTTCTCTTTGTATTTCCTCATCGAAAGGTTCGGTAAATGCGCTGCTCTTGGCACCGAAAGTCGTAAACAGAGACGAAGTTGTAAGAGATCCAACTCCACTTTCGACAATAATTTTTTTTTCCTTTCCGCAAGCGACATTCGCGGAAAGGAGTCTTTCTTCGCGAGGATCGGACGGCCCTCTTTCGCAGGCGGAAACCGCAATTTCGCGCCCTGCATATTTTCTCCCCTAATTCCCCCGGAAAACGGGGGCGAACGGGGACCTTTCTTATCTTGAAAAAGGAGGGCGGGGAGGACCCACTGCCACGGATTCTTCATGTCGATGGTTCAATACAGTCGCAAATTTTTCGCAAAATTTTAGCAAATTTTCACGATGACGGATTGAATGGCGACGTCCGGTTTTCAGACGTCGCCTTTTAGTCGCTTCCGTTGTGAACGACCCAAGGGTAAAAAAAAAAAAAAAAAAAAAATACACAGGAGCGAAATGAATCCAGCAGCAGAAAAATCCCGAAACCCAACCCCGTTCCCTTCAGTTGTTATTGCTTTTTTTTACCCCCCCTACCCAGCCGAAGACGGCGTCCAGAAGATCGGAGCGGATTAGAGCTCGGGGCTCCTTTGTTTGTCTTTCCCCGTCTTGTGTTTCGTTCTCCCTCCCCGATGAAGCGTGGAGATACGGAGCAGATGCCCGCGCATCCCCCCCCCCCTCCTCCCTCCGGCCATCCTCCCTCCCATTAGAGCCGTGAGTGGCAGCGCGGCGGTGGCATTCGAGCGGCTGCTCGCGTCCGTGCATCATCTCGCTCTCCGTGCGTCATCTCGCGCTCCGTGCATCATCTCGTTCCCCGTGTGATTGCGAAATGTGAATTTTCGACTGGATCTTCCGCCACTCAACGGTATGGATCGAGGCGGTGGTCGGCCTCGCTCCGGCTTCGAGCCGGTTTCGTTCGCCGTCGGTCTGTCTGCCGGCCGGATCATTTTTTTTTTGCATTCCTATTCTCTTCCTCCGGGCCAATATCATCGATCAAGGAGAACTTCTACCCTTAAAAATGACGTCCTGTCCAGATTTTTTTAACGATAGGAATCTGGAATAGTCTGGAAGGTGAGCTCCGGCTCTTCAGGCATTTTACCAGCAATCGATCATTAATTGCTGTTCGATCGATGAGAAATTTTGCGAAACCCCACACGTCCAGGTTAGCAACTGAACATTTTGCACGCTCCCGCGCATTGCGTTCCACCTGGTGAAGGTGGAACTTCCTGTGAGAGGGGGACGTCATGGGGCTCGGCGCGGAAAGCGAATCGAGCGGGGAAAATAGCGGTGATGCATAACGCGTAGTGAACCTGGGTGACCTCGTTGAACCGCGTTGAAACCGCGTTGAACCCATTAGGACGAACAATAGGGGAATAAATCCATATTTTTTGCTTCCTTATCGCCGCTACACACGCATTTCTGCACTCGAGCCCGGATTGCGCGAACCGTATCCCGCGTTCCCACACGGCCGCGTTCCGGCACGACCGCGTTCTCCTCGGAGGAACGAGGGAGAGAGGCGTACGGGGGAGGCCATGCACGATCCTCGATGGCTATCTGCATCGAGGGGGAGTCTAATCCATGAAACCTGTCATCACAGTTGACATAATGGACATCCGAACCTGTCTCTTTCCCGATCTGTCTCTCGTCTCGCCGGTTCAGTGCCGGTTTCGCCCTGCGACGGCCGTTCGGACGCGGTTCGGACGTCCAGACGGTGAAGCGGGATGGGGCATGTCGCCGGTGAGACTGCATTTCGGAGACAAAGGGGTTGCATCGTCACTTGTGACGTAAACCGAGGAGTTTATTACACACTCATGGGCACACGGATGCCGCGCCGACAAAAATACTCCCGGAGTTTCACAACGGAAGCGACTAAAAGGCGACGTCCGAAAACCGGACGTCGCCATTCAATCCGTCATCGTGAAAATTTGCTAAAATTTTGCGAAAAATTTGCGACTGTATTGAACCATCGACATGAAGAATCTCCTCAGAGAAAGGCATATGAAAGACACGTGAGAAAAAAAAAAATCTGGACGTGTTTATTCGCAACGGCCCACTTCGGATCCACTCGCGAGCCACACTCAAGGATGAGACCCGGGATCGGGGAACGATAAGGTTGGAGCCTGGAAACCTGTTCGATGGGACGGCCGGGGCCACCAGAGCACTGCCTGTCCCATTAGACAGGTCTGGAATGCAGCTCCGGCCGGACATCCCTGCTTTTTTCCTTCTTTCCTTCCACCTCGCTTGAAACCAATTCCTTGTCCTTCTCCATCCCCTCCTCGGTTTTCATGTTAATTGCGACATGGTTTCCCCATTAACATGCCCATTACGGACGGCGAATGACTGCATCCATCCGTGAAGTTGTGTCTACGCCTCCGTCCTCCCAACGACCTCCCTCCCCGCATCCGATGACCTCCCCCCCCCCCTCTCGGCGTATATCGCCACGGCATGCATGCCACAGAGAAGAACAAAGGCAGTCGGGAAAGAAGGACACGGCGGATAATGATAGAGGGGAGAAGGAACATGGTGATTAGGACGGAGGGAGACGGACTCCACTTCTCTTCGAGGCTCCAGGCTTCAATCTTCAGGGACCCTTTTCTCGTTTTCCAACCCTCCACCAATCATCCCCCTCCGACGTTCTTCGTCTTCCCTCTCTGAAAAATTCATCGTCGTGTGGGTCCGGCGTCTCCGGGAGATTTCGGCCCGAATCGATCGCCTGTCGTCGCTTCGTTTGTTAAACGATCGCTTTGCGAAGGAATTTCGGGAATTCCGTTCCTGCCAGGTGCATGGGAAGATACACCTCAGGGGGTGAAACAGCTTTGTGAAATATGATCCACTCGGTTGAGATGTTGCCGAGACACTCGCGAGTGGCTCAGGGTGGCTCACAGAGGGCCTGTGACAGGCCATCGCCTTCATCTCGCTGCTTTCCACCTTCTCCGTTTCTTTTATTTTTGTTCAACAGAGCGTTGAACGTCGGGTGGCAGCCGCAAAAATGGCCGCGAAGAGTCGCAAAAGAACTCACGGCGTGGAATTCGATAATTAAACCTTTGTTTCTCGTCTTATCCTTGCTGGGATGCCCGGTGGATCATCCGACTAATTACTGAGGTTTATCTAGTTAATTCGCATCATAAATCACTGTGCATCATTTGTGCTTATACCTCAATTACGAATTCCCGCCATGAACCAGTGCTGAATTGCAAATAAATTACGCGGTTAAAGCTCTTAGCAATCTCAAATAATTGTGGCACGAACAACGTGTAAACTTTTTTTTCCTGAACGAAGTTCGCAACCTTTTCCAATTAGTTAAATTGAGTCCACACGAGACACTCCATTCAGCCGAGAAGCCACAATCCACATAGTAATTTTACATTTCGATTCTGGTCTCGCCCGAGCCACCCCAGACAGGTCCCAGCCTGCCTGGGACCTATCCCCCTCCCTCCTCCCTCTCGAGGGATAAGCAGGNAAACTGACCCATGATTAACATCAAATGTGTATTGTGCATGTTGAAAGAGTAAAGCCAGGGAATAGAAGAAATCTATGAGATCATAAGCTGTGATGCGATTTCCAGGAGAATGAGATATGAGATGGAAAATGTAGATGATGTCATCCACTTCATTACTGAGAATGCTGAGGGCCACCAAGACAGTCCATATAGATGAAGCACCTTCTGGTATGCTTTCTTCCAATAGTCTCACACATAGCCTTATCTTTGACCATGACTTGAGCCATATCACAACATCTTGATGATGATGTCCTTTGTACTGAAGAGCAAACCTAAACATAAAACAAAAGCAAACAATAGGTGAATGAAGCAGGTGTTATGATACTCTAAAATGGGTTTATTACTTTTCATGATTATGTATTATTAGTTATTTCTGAGAATATGCTAACAAACATCAGCACTGGGCTTAAAACCAGAATCCAGTTTAAAACATTGCAGAAATGTCAATTGGTACCTGAGTACTGCAAGAAGACAATGTTCGACAGAAGTCATCCCAAGGGATGATGCCAGAGTTTGTACTTTCTTCTTAGCCTCAGGACAAGTCCCCAGTTTGTATTTGTAATACAATTTCTTCCAAGGAATGAACTGAAAAACAAATATAATTAGGCTCCTAAACACTGGTAGGCCAATGCAAAAGAAAGTGCTCCTTTGCAGGATGCTCCTTTTAGAGTAAACAGTAGCAAATGTGGCCAATAAGCATAGAAAAAATGCATGGAACAAGTAATTGAGAGAGACTAACTAGTCCGTCTAGTACCTAAACATATTATTGTCAATCAGGATATGGAAAGTTAACTAAAAGTTATGACCAGCTTGAAATGGCAATGAGAAGGACTGACTGCATCACTGGCGATGACAGAGTGCCAGTAGGAACTGACAAGAGGCAGATGTAGACAGAGGTCAGTTATGGGGAGTCGACAAAGGATCATTTCAAATAATTCTGGAGGCAGGGCAGAAAATGGATCTGAGGAGGAACCTGATACAATGTTTGGCTCACTCTGGGTAAACCTATCCATGTTGGCCTTTATTCACGGCCTCTGCCTCATGGAAATCTGGAAAAAGAAGTAGAATTTCATGAACAGAAATGGTTCTATAGGTTTACATAGGTTTAGGTCTAAGCAAAATACAGAGTACACACTTTGTTATGTTCCAACCTACATCTACAGAACAGAAACCCAAAGGATTATTTTTCCTCTTAAAGGGCTTAACAAGCACAAGTGAGGCAAAACCTTTCATGATGAAAATAGCCATAGGTGAAGCCCTATATCATGCACTCAAATATTGCTTCATACATTTGATGTGCTTCATGGCGCTTAATGAGAGACATTCAGCATATCCTTAAAAACAAAATGATGACCATACAAAATGCTGGCTGAATGAGTACTGAGAACAGCCCATTCAGACTTTCACACATACAAATTTATAGGCATATTGTTTGGTGTTGCATTTACAGCTAAAAATAAGGGGGGTGGGGGGGGGGGGGGGGGCAAGGGGGAGGGAAAATGTTTCTCCTTCTCCCCCATTTACTCTTAATTGTGTTCATGTGCTTTCCTTCCCCCCATTAGAGGCCTTCATTCATTTTCCCCTCTGCGGATTCCGCGTTGCCGATTCCGCGTCGTGCATTCCGCGTTGCCCGTTCCGTGTTGGCAGATTTTTGCGGATGCTCGTTCGGGTGTCGTCGCTCGCGTGGGAAAGAAGTGGTCTTGTTGACGGGAAAATCGGTAGATTTTTCTCGCGTCGTCACGCTCCAATTAAGGTAACTGGCTCGAGTGGGCTCAGGTGGACCCAGTCGAGACTCTAAGGAAAAACAAACGTTGCAGAGTGCAGGAACGCGTTACGCAGGCTTTGTCTCCCCCGCGGTTCATTCGGCGAACCGATTCTATTCGGTACTTCCATTTGGTACTCCCACTCGGTACTGCGTAGTCCAGGGTTACGTCAGATCGAGCGAAACCGCCAGGACGGGGTCATTCGAGCACTCTCCCGGTCCTCGAACTCGAGTCCGCACGAGCTCACCTTCTGCAATTCGAAAAACCCTTAACGCAGCCGAATCCAATCCGAAGCAGGGAGCAAGTGCCTAAGTCGTAAGTGCATAAATCATGAGGACGCTGCACTGGAGCCCGTCTAAACGAAGCGGATGGCAGGGGGGGGGGGGGAAGAGGGAAGAGCCTCTTGGGTCGAGGGAATCAGGCGCGAGAACCGGAACACTTAATTGCCCGGGGAAAATGGAACACTCAAATGCAATTACGGAGATCCCCATCGCACGAGGGTCGTCACTCTTTCGAATTCCGGCACGATTCAGGCACGGAATCGGAAGGCTGCTACTGGAATTCACGACAGGCAAATTACAGGCTGATTTGTGTCTCAGCGCCTGTTGCGGAGCGGCTCAGCGCCTGTTGCGGAGCGGCTCAACGCCTGTTGCGGAGCGGCTCAACGCCTGTTGCGAGCCATTCAACGCCTTTCTGTTCGAGCCATCATTATGGTGACGCAGACCAGCCCCCAGCGCCACGATGGCGTATGCAAATTAGCCAGTTCCCTCATCCGTCGCGGCGGTCACCTTCGGAGTCACCTTTGAAGTCACCTTCGTCGTGACGGAATGGAAGTCCCGTTTAGCATGATGAGATCGCTTTGGGCCTCCCGCATTCTCAACGACCGTGCAAACTAATCCGCCGGTCCTGCGTTTTTTTGCCGTCAAAATAAAAAAGCCCGGCATAATGGAGTGGGTCATTCGAAAGAGGGGAAAAGGGGGGGGGGGGAAGGGGGGGAAGGGGAAAAAGGGGCTGGGGAAGGTTCCTGTCATCACTGAAGCAGCAGGCGGTCGCTAGCGTATGTAAATAGCCTCGGGGGACTACGTTAACCACTAATCCCCCCCTTCGCCCTTTTTTCCCTTCGCTCAACACAAGCTCCAACTTTTTTTTTGTCTGTGGGAGCATCATCGGTCCGAAACTGTTTTTCTGCTGCGTCGATGGGCCGATTATGCTTTCCCCCCGGGAGCGAGTGAGTCCGCACCTGTGACCTCACAGGACCTCACAGGTCACAGACTTCCGGGCCGGGCCGTCGGCGCGCCGATGGATGACATGCCGATAGATGACGTGCCGATAGATGACATGCCGATCGTCTACCGATAGAGAGAGCGCCGGCACCGACGCGGCGGCTTTCGAGACGGTCGCGCTATTTCGAGGGCGGCTGGACGTATTTTCGAGGATATTTTTCCAGGACATATCTATGGTAAATAACGGTGGAGACAGGAGATAGGGTCAGTCTGCGGCTGCCATCGCGTGAGCGGCGCGTCGCCGTCGGCCATGTCAAAAAGGTCACCCAGACCCTCGTCGAGCGTAATTTGCGCTCGTTCGTTTCGGGTCCGTGAGGAAGGGCCGTGAGGAAGGGCGTGCCCTCCCCTGACAGAGGAAGGAAAGTTTGAGGCAAACTGGGAGCGGCTCGACATTCCCAATTTAGGTGCGATCGCCCACGACGAAACCGCGTTGAAATCACGATGAAATCACGATGAAGTAACGAAAATTCCTCGCAGATCTGAGGAAGCACTTCGTGGAGCACCCGTACTCGAAGAGCGTCGAGGTTGCCTCCCAGGCGGAGCTCCGGTGCATGCCCCCCGAGGGAGTCCCGCTCCCCCGCGTCGCCTGGCTCAAGGACGACCTCCCCGTCGAGGTGGAACGGGAGCCGAACCTCATCGTCTCCTCCGAGGGGAACCTCCTCTTCTCGCAGGCGAGGGTGTCCGACTCGGGGAATTACACGTGCGTGGCCGAGAATCTCGCCGGGAAGCGGTTCTCGGACGTCGCCGCTCTCTCCGTCTACGGTGAGTCGCGTGACGTCACTCTTCCGCGATTTCCGCGAGACGTCGTTCGTCTCACGTTCCGGGATCCCTTGCAGTGAACGGGGGCTGGTCCGACTGGGGACCGTGGTCCGGGTGTAGCGCATCCTGCGGCCGAGGCGTCCAGCGGCGGACTCGGACGTGCAACCACCCGGCCCCCATCAACGGAGGGGCTCCGTGCAAGGGGGCCGATACCCAGAAGATCGTTTGCAAGTCCCTGTGCCCCGGTTCGTTTCTCGACTTCCATCCGTTCCTTTTTTCTTATTTTATTTTTTTTTAGCAAAATAATAGTACAAGTATTTAAAAAAACCATCAAAGTTGACATTTCCTGCATGATGTTCGTTGCGACGTAATACTAACCATATGGCCATCAGTTTAGTTCATACCGCCGCGTTCATCAAATCCTAAATTTCCCGCCTTTCGAGAGACACGCGGATCGAAAAGTTTACACGCACGAAACGCTTGCAGCCGTGCACGGAGGCTGGAGCGCGTGGTCGACGTGGTCCGACTGCGGCGTCGACTGCCGCCGACACAGGCGTCGCACCTGCACGGCCCCGCCCCCCCAGCACGGCGGGGAATACTGCCCCGGCCTGGACATCGCGATGGAGAACTGCACGGTGGACCTCTGCTCCCTCTCGAGTGAGTTTCCTCCCTTCTTTCCTCCCTTCTGCCTCCCTTCTTTGCTCCCCTCGTCGTCTCGGGTTTCGGTCGTCTGGGTTGGCCCGGGAGGGGCGTCGCGAGAGAAAGAATTCGGAGGGATTTTTTTTTTCGCGAGTCTTCGTGGAAGTTTTCAAAGATTTTTAGGTACCGCGCAGGACTCTATGGTAACCGTCGGTGATTCGAAGATGATATTGACTCTCATTCAATTGAAAATTTGTAAACATTCTCTAGAAACACTGAACATTTTTTGAGGGGATTGGAAGCACCCGAGAAAATTTTCTTAAGAAAAGTTTGAGAACGATTTGAAAAATGTGCGAGAAACGTCTGAGAAATGTTTGAGTCGTCTGAGAAATGTTTGAGTCGTGTGTGAGAAATGTCTGGAAAATGTTTGACTCTTCTCGTATGAATTGCAGGGACTCCGGGAGAGAACGTGGCATTCGACTCCGTCGCAGGTACGCGTCTTGTTTCCCTCGAGAGCAGTGCAAACACTGCCTTCCTTTCCCCCTCGAGAAAAAGAAAAAAAGAAGCAGAAAGTACACAAAGAACCGAAAGTGGGCGGTCAACAAAAAAGTGCAGCGAGATTCCCTCTCTCAGGTTCGGGTCCCGGGGGAGGAGCCACGGCGGCGTACGTCGGAGTGTGCCTGGCGCTGCTGCTCGCCCTCGCCCTCGCGGCGCTGGGCGTCGGGCTCTTCAGGCGGAAGAGCAGGATCGGGTCGCACGGCGTCTATGCCATGGCTCCGTCCGGTCAGCATTTTTTATTTCTTTTATTTCATCTGCGGCGTCGAGAGGGTCGGCTACGAACCTTCCGGTCGACGTTTTTCTTTCTGTTTGCACAAAGCATCGATAAAAGCACTCCCGTCTCGTGAATGCACCATTGCGTTATTTGCATATCGATCGAAAACGAGTCGTTCGCTCGGAGGTCGCTAGATGTCTCTGGTGAGAGGGACCTTCTGCAGCGGAGGGTCCATCGAGGGACGTGGGAGTCGGGGAGGGACGTGGGAGGCAGGGAGGGATGTGGGAGGCGGGACCGACTTTCCGTTCCCATGGCGGTTGGTTCGTGGCGGGCCTTCGAATGGGAGATTCGCGGAATAAACGGCGGGTTTGGGGAATCGTTCTGGAACACAGCAGGCTCGGAATACACCGAGAGGGGATTCTTCGAACCAAAGGGGGGGGGGGGGGGGGGGGGGTGGACTGGAAAAAAGGCCCCCCAGGGGGGTTGGATGGACTGGAAATAAGGCTACCCTGTGTTTCAAGGTTTATAGCATGTTTTCCAAACAGATTCCTGGAATTGAGTTTTAAAAAAAAGGCAAGCAGCCTGACGGTTTGGCAGGGAATCCAGATTTTTTAATTATCGTTTCCAAGGTTTCGTTGTTTCTATGCGGCCTTATATGGGTCGATGGGTGAAGATGGATCGCGAAATTCTGGATGGCGTCGTAGAATCGCAGTGAATATGGATAAACCGGATGGAACGGTGGAAGGTGCTGGGTTCCCCCGTCGAGAACCGACAGGAACACCGATCCGGAGACGCGGGACACCCCTTACGGGACACCCCTTACGGGACGCCCCACGCGGAAGACACGAAACGAACTCCCACGCCGATAATCCGCCGCATTCGCGTGATTACGTTAACGGCGCCTTCCCACCTGCTCATCACGCATGCACGTCTCTTCCCTCCCTATGCCCCCCCTGCCCCCCCTCCTTCGCCCCCCTTCCCCCTCCCGTCACGACACCTAATAGACCCGGCGAATGAAGAGATTCCGCTGACGCACGCCACGACCGACGTGAAAGGCCTCCGGTGCCCCATCTGCTCCCTCACAAAAGAGGAAGCGTCGCAGCTCACCGATCCCTAATAACCACTCGCTCGCCGTCATCGAGTGTCATTCGCGAGCACGCCTGCGAAGCGAATGCCTTCTGGAACCCGCTCGTTAGGCTCGTCGTCGGGTCGGCGATGGCCTCGCGCATCACGATGGCCTCACGCATTGCGTGACTCGAGTGTCCCGATTATCGTTCCCCCCGTCGCACCCCATTCGACGCAGAACAATAGCCAAAACACGAACTCGGCGGAAGCACCGCACGACCTACCGAACAAAGAAATATTTCCAAGTCAATCAATACCAAATATTCCCAAATCGATGAATTCGTCGCATGATCGAGACGGGAGGGGGGAAGGGGGGCGAAGGAGGGGGGGCAGGGGGGGATTGAGAATAATTTGATGCTCTGATGCAGACTATTAGCCAGGACCATGATTGACCTTGCACGAAACTAAAGTTCTAAAGCTGTTACTTAGATCTTCAACCTTAACTTTGAAAGTCCTCGAGGCTATGCAATTTTGAACAGCAAGCTATGCCTGCACACACACTCTGCATCACTCAGGTGAAAGGTCATGATAATTTGAGCATTTGCTAAAATGTTTTCCTGCGCAACAGGTACCACAGTCTAGGTGTTTGGCAGGTTGCATGAACAAATCTTAAAAATTGAACTGGCTCTTTGGTTTTAGTGCTGGGGGATAAATGACCACAGTTATGATTTCTATTAAAAAATATATATGTATATATTAATTCGCTGAATTAAAAAAAAATTAGTGGTCAATAATGGTCAATTAAAAGGTGGTCAATTGACCGCCCCATCCCTACCTCTCAAGCACAATCTCTCGAGGTGAAAATAAATAAGCAGCAAACAACACGAAACACACAACGTCGAACCAACGCCGAATCGACGTTGGCCCGACGTTCGCGAAGAATGAAGAAGCCTCGTTCGTCTCCGTTTCTCGTGCCGTTTTGTGTCTCGCGAGCTTGGACGCAAGAAAGGTCGGCGTTATGATCATCAAGCGAGTTGGTCGCCGACGAAAATTAATTTAACTTGATTTCTCTTTTGGTCATTTCTTCTTGAATTCCTTTTATGGTTTCTACTTGCGAAAGTACCCGGCGTTATTGAATATTTGTACGTGTACCATATTTGAGGGTTTAATATTGTTTTAATGCCTCTTTGGCAAACCCGACTAGAAATTGTTTGAAATATTTAACTTTTACCACACAACCAATTGCAAAATTCCAATAGCAAGCTGCATGTTACAACTTAAACTTTTTTAATGAGCCCCCAAAATTTCGACTTCTTGGGGGGGTCTGTGAATGGGCCAAAATCTGCACTAAATAAGGGGGTCCGAATTTTGAAAGGACCATTCCCGGACCAAATGAGGAAGCCATGCAAAGTTTGGTCGGATTGGGATCAGAGGCGTGGCCGTGCATAAAGGCCATAAAGGCCGTGCATAAAGGCCGTGCACACACAAACACTCTGAAATATAAAAGTATAGATGGATAAATCCCCATTTTATGGTCACACATTTTTAGCTAATTACTTCCCCCTCATATTCGCTTTTAGTTCCCTTTTTTTTTAAATAAGTATTTTGACTTGACGCCTGTCTGGATTTGACAGAGGCGACATCAGGAGGATACCTGGCGAGCCCGGTGATATCATGCGGACCTGGGAATGTGGGACTCAAGAAGCCCGTCATCCTCACCTTCCCCGCCTCCCTCTCCTCCCCCACCTCCCGTGCCTCCCACACCTCCCCTGCCTCCCCCGCCCTCAGGGAGCCCACGATCTCCGTCCTTTATGCTCCACCTGCTTTGCATCACCCTCCGTCTTCCTGGCATGTGAGTGTTTCTTGCGTTTGCGTTGCTGAAATTTCGAATTCTGAATTTAATAAAATTAAACGTCGACGTACTTCAAACGTAATTGAAAGTTTCTAAAGGGTATAACACTTTTTCGATTCCTGAATTCTCATTCTGACTGCATGATCGAATTCGTGCAAAATATTTTTCAGTCATGAAACGTGGGACGTTACCACTATTCAGTTTTCATTTTATTCCGAGGACTTTTTCTTACTTCGAATTATTAAATGGCATTAAATTCGTATCGGTTCCAATCGCCTCGAGCGAATCACACCATCTCCCTCGTTTTTTCCCGGTATCAGTGCGTGGTGCGAGTCGGAGAGGAGACGATCAACACCCCGCTGTACACCCAGTTGGACGACGGGGGCCTGTGCCACCTCATGGTGGAGTCGCTGGGATCCTACGCTCTCGCTGCTTCCCCTCCCTCCCCTCCCTCCCCTCCCTCCTCTCCTTCCCCTCCATCCCCTCCTTCCCTTCCTCCCCCGCCTTCCCTTCCCTCCCCTTCGCCTCCCTCTTCTACCTCGCTGTCGATTGACCTCCACACCCCGTCCCTGTCGCTGGACCTCCACGTCTTTCCTCTCGTGTCGGCCGGTCGAGATCGTCTTCGGGTGTTCTGCTTCAGAGACCCCGCCGTCCTACAGGTGAGGCCTGGTCGCGTTTGCAATGAAAATTTTTCGCGAGGTCGTTGTTGCTATAATGATTAATTGAATATGGAAATGCTACAATTATCTATGATTTCTCCCCCCCCCCCTTTTATTTGATTTTCCGTGCTAAAAAGTAATTTATTTCAGCACTTAAATATTTTAAAATGAGTATTGTGCGTATATAGATTTAAAATGAATAATATGAATTTAAAATGTCCTTCGATGAATAACATGAAGGTCTGACGTAGCGGCTGGTTTCTCACACTCTTGCGCCGTTCTGATCACAGGAAGTGCGGATGGAGAAGGAGTACGAGGGAAAGGACGTGATGGGGGAGACCAAGAGTATTTGCCTGAGAGAATTCCACAAGGAGCTGGTCTTCCGCGTTCACGAAAAAATTCCCGACGCCCACGCGAACTCTCACAGACATCTCCTCGAGGATCGGGTAAGGATCAGAAAATCATTATTTTTATGTTTCCCACCTCTTCGTTAAACGGAAAAAAGGAACAATTATTCCCGGTGACATTTGCACGCGTTTACGACAAATGCACATCGTGTTCCCGACAGCGAGTCTGTCTGGAGCGGATCCGCGAGTCTCGAATGGAGAGCGCAGACTGGAACCTGGACCCATCCCCCGACCTCGCCTTCTCCATCCACGTCAGCGACGACGCGGGCAACCACCTCCACACCCTCCACTTCCCCCCGGTAAGACCTTAAGCCGATGAGACCTAAAGCGACCCACGAGCGCGTTGACGCAACGGTTTCGAACGACAGGAGGCTCGGGACGACGGAGTGGTGGAAGGAGGGGACGGGGCGTTCACGGTCCCGATCGCGGCCAAGCAGTACCTGTGTCGGTGCCTGGATCCGCCCAGTCCGCAGGGGAACGATTGGAGGGCGCTTGCGAAACTACTCAATATGGATAGGTGGGGTCTTCTTTTATCGGTTTTCGTATCGTTTTATGTGGCCGAGTGAGACCCGATCGGAATCGGCGCACACAGGCCCCCCAGTACGTCAAGGTCTCCCTAATGACAGTAATAAAAAAGAGTGATAAGAGACGTAGAGAGACGTGGACTCGTTTCAAAAATGCAGTTCGGTGCTGGTTTCAATTCAGTTGCAATTCCACTTGGAATTTCGTTTTGAGAGTAGTCGAGGGGAGGGGAGATCAAGACCAAAGTCTCAACTGAGACCAGAACCGAACTGCGACTTGAAATAAGTCTTGGTCTCGCGGAGCATGCTTATCGGTGGCCACAGCCTCCCACACTGGGTCCTCCCACACTGGACCCTCCCACAAGGGTCCAGATGCTGGTAATTGGACCCGCCGTACAATTACTTTCTCACGGAATTCCTCGACGAACGGCATGACCGAAACAAAGATTCCCCCGACAGGTACATCAACTTCTTCGCGACGAAGGCGAGCCCGACCGAGGTGATCCTCGACCTGTGGCAGGCGAGGCAGGGACCCGAGGCGGTCGCCCGGTTGCTCCACGCCCTCGGGGACATGGACCTCCGCCTGCCCCTACAGTGAGGGGGGGTGAGGGGGGGGGCGAGGGGGGGCGAGCGTCCGATCTCGAGTTGGATGCGGTGGCCTTGGAAACGTGCCTTGAAGTGTGTCTTGTGGCGTGAATCCTGGTGCTAGTCAGAGTGATCTTTTTATATTTTGGGCTGGAGTTCTTTCCCTGGGAATGAATTATTTCCTATCTTTGACATTGTTTTTTTCCCCTTCGTTTTCGAAAGTTCCGGGACTGGTTCTGTATCTCCGGTATTTTTTTTTAAATGTCCATGTGCCAATTCTGATGAGTATATGGTTTTGAGCTTTGGGGTGCATATTCAAATTTCTTGCTTAACGATTTTTTTTTTCCATTTTCATGGAGGCTTTTCCCTACCGGGTGAAAATGATTGAGGAATGTTTAATTTTTTTTTGCATTAAAACTTTGGAGGGCCGTCAAATTTTGCACGGAAGCGGTCAAACGTGTCCAGGTCCCTTGAAGGGGTTCGAATGGCGCAAACGATTCGCAAAAAAAAGACCTTTCATTCTAAAGGCTTTCTTACACTTTTGTCCCACTTTGCCCATATTGACCGGTCAGCATGCAAAACTTCTCGTGATTATTTAAACAAACAAATCATGAACTTCCAATTCACTATTTCATATTTCTCAATTTTTTTCACCCGGTCGGTCCATGAAAAGTTATTATAATAATCAAAAGAATTATATATATATATGTATATAACATGATAAATTTCGCTTATGCACCCCGAACACAAGATACTTGGAACTTTTTGTACACCCCTCGTAACTTAGCTCGTTTCCATTTTTGCTTGAGAATGGAAGAGAGATAACTTCAATGTTCATGCTTCAGCATTCCTACTTTAATTTAATCACTCAATTTAATTAAGTCTCATACTCAGCTTTGATGGAGCTTCGCCATGGAATTGATGGAATCTGAGCAGATGAGTGAAATCAGCAAATCACCAGCAAAGACTCCACTTTTCTACGAAAACACTACTCGCATTAAATTTGATTAATTAATTAATTTTAAAATTGCCTTTCGCTTGAAACATTTTTCGTTTGAACAAACCCCAATAACCTTGGAGGCAAATTCTTGAATTTGAGGCAAACTTGAGGCGAATTCTGGAAATCGGCTATAATCAATCCCCAAAGAAAAAATAGCTGCGAAAAAAGCGTTAATCCTTTGGTTTTGATCCCCTTAATCCCCGGGGCATCGATAACGCTTAGCAGTGACGGCCCGCGATGGTGCCCGATATCGGTTGGATTACCAACACGTCAGCGTGATAAAGGGCATTACGTGAAGGGCATATGTGTGAAGAAGGACCATCGACGAGGCATGCGTGCTCTTCATCGGAAAGGGGGAGGGGCCATAAAAATGGCTAAGACAAGTCATGACGATTGTTGGACTCTTTATATATAAATATAATACAGGGTGTCCCAAAAGGTATGGAAACATTTAAATATATATACATATCTATTTAATTTTTGCCTCAAATTAAATGATTAAAAACAAAAAGTTCTCAAACTCAAACAATTTTCAACCTGTTACTGCAATTCCATGCAATTGTTATTGCATGGACATCATATGTCAAGTCCAAGCGATGTTCATGCTCTTACCACACTTGATGCAGAGTGCAAAATTGCCTGGATAGCTGCGAAAAGCCTGTCGATAAAAGTCTCAATTTTCCAAGGTGTTGCACCTCCGCATTTTAGCAAAATTATGCACGAAAAAAAATCTCAAATCTGTGGATTGGACGAAGCGGGCCCATTCCACGGCCACCAATATCACCCAGTGGATTTTTTCCTTGTCCGTTTTCATGTCAAGGACATCGCTTACTGGAGAAAAGTGGACGATCGATCGAGATCTGGAGAACAGAATCCAGACAGTTTTGCTTGGCACTCTGCATCAGGACATCTACAGAATCAATCACAAATGGTGCCCATGGGGAATTGCAATGACGGGCTGAAAAATGTTTGAGTTACACTTTCTTTTACTGTTTCAATAATTTAATTGGAGGCATAGTTTAAATATAAATATATTTATTATTATTAAAATGTTTCCATACCTTTTGGGGCACCCTTTACGTAGCACGACAGTTTACCGAACCGTGGAAACTAGTGGAGATTTCACAAACAAATTCGGGTCACTTAATTATTTTCTGGATGAGATGAAAAGAGGAAGACCCGAAGCAACATGGCTAAATAAATTTCGACAGAAGACTATGCCAATCTGCGCTTGGATCATTTGAGGTACTTAGATTTTTTTTTATCTTCTCGGTGATCGAAAGGCAAAAAAAAAAAAAACATTTCAGTTAACGGGTTGGCAATCTCGACGGATATGAAGAGAGAGGAGATCCACGTAAGCACCTGAACCCGATGACGCGGTAATTACGGATTTTTACGGCACTCGTTTAACGGGACGTTTCACGAAGAAGGTATGTCCCGTTTGCGTGCTTGCAGAAGCGATGGCTCACCGATTTATTTATTTATTTTTCCAGTTTAAGTGTAAATTCTGTATTTGAAATGAGCTTTCACTTGAGTGACGTCGCACGCATCATCAGTGAGACAAACCGCCACGGTAGCGATGGAGCTTTATTTAGATTTTCGGGGGAGGAACGAAAGGAAAGCGGAGGTGAAGCGGGTTCCACAAGTTCATCCTCGGCGGGGTCTCCCTGAAGCGCCTGAGGGTGATTTCCAAGAGGGAGTAGATCATCCTCAGGTAGGAGGTGATCACGCTGGTGAGGAGGGTTTCGAGGGAGGTGTCGGGGCGTGGGTTGTCCTGATAGAGGATGCCTGGCTCGGGGATGTCTGCGCCGATCACCACGGCTTGGTGGAATCGGTCGGAGTCGGTGGAAGGGGAGGAGGATGATGGTGGAGGGGAGGAGGTGGATGCGGGTTCTGGCTTTGCTGGGGGAGGTTCGGGGTTTGTAGGTGTGGGTTGTGGGTTTGAAGGGGTGCCGCTTGGTTCTACGGTGGTGGGTTGCGTTTCTGCAGTTGCGGGTTTTGTTTCTGCAGGTATTGGTTGTGGGTCTGTAGGCGTTGGGTGCGGATCTGTAGGCGCTGGGTGCGGATCTGTAGGCGTGGGCTGTGGTTCTACAAGGTCAGGTTGTGCAGGTTGGGAGGTGACACGTGGGGGTTTCTTTTGAACGTGGATGACCCTGTCTCCCAGGTCGATGGTGTCGTATCCCTGGGCTCTCTCTCTCCCTTGCAAGATCACTCGCATGACCTGGAGGAAGTCCGGAATGGGACTCACCACCTGCCGAGACCAAGCAGCGCTCCGAAGGGAAACGATCGCAAAGACACCAAAGACCGACCTCACAGAGCCATCTCATCCCTTAAAATCTAAATCCTGTCGAAAGATTCCTACAATCCGTGGTCGGCCTCGGCCAGCCGACGTGGACCTCAGAGGAAAATCCTCCATTTAAAAATCGGATCGCATGAAAAACCTAAAGATATCAAATATACCCAAAGGTACCATTTTGTACCACCGATTTAACACCGGTAATAAATAAATCAAACCGAATGTATCACCTTAACAACAGCAATAATTTGTTTCTAAAAAAAACCCGAGCGTACTTTGAAATTTCTAAAAAAAAAAAAAATAATAACGTTTCCCGAAATTCTTTTCCCTGGAATTTTTATCAATAGGTTTTTGTAAGTTGGATTACGGAAAGTAGTACAGAAATATCAATATGAATTTGAGATCTAGTAAAACAAACCATTTAATCCCCCCACAATTTAAACTCAAGCGGTTCTAAAGTTACTGACGTAACACCAGACTATAAAAACAAAATTGAAAGAAATTCTTTTTAACCATCCTTGCACCAAAATCGAGTAAAAAAAAATTATTTTCGGGGAAATTAAAAAATCATTTCGCGCTCCTGGCGAACAAAGTTTAAACAGTTTTCGTTCTGTTGCCTTCCAACTCCGTCTGATTGGGCTGGAGCTTCCATATTTTCAGGAATGAAGGCATGGCCCTTTATGGGACCTTTATGGGACCTTTCTTCGCGCCAAAATGAGGTCCACCAAGTTAAATTGATCAAAAGAAACACGCGATGTGTTGTTTATCCGTTATTTAGTAATTTACTTATTTGCGTTATTTAGTCAAAGTTTAGTATCCATACAGTGCAGAAAAATTAAGTTGGAAGGATTTTTCGGAAAACGTTTTTCTATCAAATTTGTTTCAATTACTCTGGAACCGCCCCATAATTTGATTTTTTTTTCTTCACAAGCATAAACGTGTTCTCCAAACCTTATTTATTATTTATTATTATTTAGCCCGAAAAACTGAGTATTTCCCCCCAGAGCACGATTCAAGAAAGGAATGCAGCTGGGATCGTCAAACGGGATTAAAAAAAAAAAATAATAATAATAATAATAAAAACTGGGAAAATTCGCGCGGGCATAAACCTCTCCGCTAATTGTATGGGAAACCCTCGGAAGCGGTTCGCGGAGATAATCGCGCGATGGAATCGCGCTTTTTCCCAAGCATGCAAATTAGCATCGCGAGTCCCTCCCGTTACGAATGGGGAAAATGGGGCTGGGAAATTCATGATTGCTGTCACTAAATCATGTCGTTAATTAATTTCACGATGGGGGAATTACCGCGCATAAATTCATGCCAAAATGGCCTCTTGCATGAATCATGTTTGAAATTTGCACTGACCAAATGGAAGAGTCGCCCTTGCAGAATTATTTATTACATATAACAGAAAAATTAAAATATGATATTATTATAATGAATTTAATACCTGTGAGAGCGGCATGCACGCAGCGACGCCGACGACGAAACAAATGACGATCCCCACCTTCATCCTTGCTGAAGAAATTCGCACGCAAAATCAGGGCCTCCGAGGATTTGCTTTTAAAAAAAAAAGAAAATCGGCGGAAATCCGGAGATTCCGTTTGGAGGCGAGGCCGCGTTTCACTGTTCGATCCGGTCCGGATTTTCCGCTTTAAGAGGGGAGAAAGTCGCATCGTCACCGCGCTTCGCATTCATTTCGCGTTCAACTCGCCCAAACGCGAAAAAGGGAAAAATGATGGGAAAAAAAAAATTTATATAAAAAAAAATGGTAGAAAAAATGAGAGGAATGCGAACAGATCAATTTCTAGCGTGTGATCTGGAACGGGATCGCGACCCGGCGCTCCCTCGCTCCTCGCTCCCTCAAGTGCTCCCTCGAGTCCTCCTTTTTCCGAGGCGATGCACACCGACTATGCGAATTTGATTATTGGAGCAGATTCGTCTTCCTTTTACTGGGTGTAACGTTTCATGTTAATTTTTTATTATTTTATTTTGATTTACTTTGATTTATTTATTTTACCAGGCTGAGGAAGATCTGAATCACAGGTTTTTTTTCAAAATGATTTCAAAATTAGCTCATCTACTTGCGCTCCACGTGTGTGGGCTGGTTGCACCGGGTCTGTGCACCAAGAGCATCGAAGTTCCATACCAGATTTTCTCCTCTTTTTTTTTTCAATTCTCGCGAGAAATGATATTAAAAATCGTAGAGTTTCCTTGTAAAATGATTTTGAATCACTGATGAGCTGCGTTAGTGCCAGATACGCCTTCATTACAAAATATCCTAACTTTTTACTGCCTTACGCCTAAATCGGAGAATACATTATTCGCCTTGCAATTTCAATTGCAATTGCAATTTCGTCTTGCAATCTCTCCTATTGTCTCGCGAGGGTTCGAGTGAAAAACCATGCGAAAAGGAGCAGCGAAAAACCACAACTGTGCAAATGTGGGGACTCGTTTGAAAGCCGGAAGGGCCAGATTGGCCCTAACCGATAAGAAACCAGCTTGAATTGTGTTTGTGTCATGGGCTTAACCTTGAAGGCCCACCCCTTTCACCCCTTCGAACCCAGTCTTGAAGGGTCCACCCCTTTCACCCCTCGTATCTCTTCATCGGGCCGGGGCCTTTAAATAGGTCGTCGTTCCTCCATTCGGAGGGTTCGTGAGCTCTGGAGCTTCCAAGCGTGTCTGACGTCTCTCGACTCTTCCTTGAGGAAACCCTCCTTTAGTGAGCTCACGCTGAACCTTGGACACCCTGTTGTCGCCTCTGCGCCCATCGCTGCTGGGAGTGAGTTTCTTTCCCCTTTTTTGAGCTCGGCACCCCACCACGGACTGCTCTCGTCTCGTCAATCTCAAAACCTAGTGAAACCTTATTTGCCCAATTCTTTTATTTCCCTTAGATATTTTTGTCATTTATTTTTTCGTGTGATCATTCACTTGCCACCCATTTCCGATCACGTGGGTCGCAAACCTGTAGCACACTGCCATTTTTCAACATCCGACCGCATGTCAAGCCCAAAAGGAAGCTCAATCCCAGCAGCGATGCGAGCACAGACCTGTGTCCAAACTTCAGCTAAAGTATTTGGTGACCTCGAGGAGGAGTCGCGAGTCACAGACGTAGCTTGGAAGAAGAAACTGCTCCAGTGTGCCCGAATCGTCTTAAAGGTGGAGATTTCTGCTCGATCAAGAGGTATGGAGAGAAAGGGGTGAGCCCATAGATTAAGTCCATGACATTTTTTTTTTGCACTTTTATTCAAGTGGGTTCTGGGATCGGGTGCCCAAAATGTGAAATTCGGAAGGGAATCATCTCGTAAATCGTGATGCCAAACTTGTCTATGCTGATTGACGAAAACAATGCTTCGCTTCTCTATACCCGGCAAGGAAAGGTTCTGGCCAAAACACTGGCGCGAGAACGTCGACAGGTGCCGAGAATCATGTCGATGAAAGAAAAATTGAGTGCGAAACACTGAAAGGGCCGAAGCATCGTCTTTATTCGGGTTCTCGGCGACATATGACTCTCCCTTGGTCGATCTGTGTTTTTGGACAACGATTAAGGTTCAGGAAATGAAACTGCGTGGCTGATCTTAAATATAAGTTTTTTTTTTCGATTATGCAATCGTTCGAAGCAGGAACGCACCTTCAGAAATCTCGTTTACCCATCGGAAATACCGAAAAGTAACTCATGAAAAGCAGATAGGCCAACCGAAAGGAAAACTGGATTCGATACATTAAGTTTTCATCTCAACATGGAAGTTGAGAGTTGCAATCGAAAATTCCGTATCGGTTAATCGCTGGGGAAACGCATGCCACGGTTCTGAATTTTTCTAACCTCAATTCGTTGACATTCATCCGATACAAAATTCTAGAGATGGGGGAAACCTTGATCGTCTCGACGAGAAATCGAAAGGGTTTCTGTTTTCATATTGTTTTAACTAGATCCACCTAGTGTTTTAACTAGATGAGGTCCGACGCCACGTGTGAAGGGAATCCCAGAGACTTCTAGGAGGGCCGGGCGGAAGCAAATGAGGAAGATGGCCACAACGTGTCTGCATTTCGTACCACCGAGGATCCGGAATGGCTCGCAGCGGGTTACTCCCTCTCCCTTCTGTTTTTCCGACTCTTGGGTCAAATTCCCATTGATTCGTTACAAGTTCATGGTGCTCGTGGCTCGTTACCGTACCGAGCATTACCCTTTTCATGCAGATCCAAATTACCGACCGGAAAGAACCGAACATCCGATAGAAACCAGAGAAGATCACAAGACCAGAAAGACAGCAGCAACCGACTGCCAATCTCGACCGACCGACCTCCAATCTCTTCCGACCGACCGAGCCTCCATAACAACAGCAACCGACCTCCAATCTCGACCGACCGAGCCTCTCCAACGGCATTCCCCCTCCCATTCCGCACACACCCAGTTCAACGGAACTCCGCCTCTTCCAGTTTCTTTCCTGGCAGTGGCGGTGATTTGCGGTGATGACGAGAAGCATGGGGTAGGGGAAAATAAAGGCCATGCCAAGAACGGTAATTTTCAGCCTTCTCGGCCAACTGTACCAGAATCCAAGATCATGAACTCGATCGAAGCAGCAACAATAACTGTAAAGGCAATTTTAAGCGGTCGACCGCTCGCTAAAACACCGTGCTGATTAACAACTCACAATCTGCAGCTAGTCTTCGCAGCTAAACAACTTCCCGCAAGAAAAAGTCATTTTGGCCCGTCAGAAGATCGAGGCCCACGATGAAGTAGTTCACATCACGAATGCACTCTTTAAGGGACGCAAGGGTTTGTTTCTTTGTCGCATCCGTCCTAACTTCGAGGCCAGGAGGATCACACGTAATTCTCGTTCTCGAGTGCTGACAGGAACTCGGCGTAGGCCGAGCGCGGTGTCGGGTATAAGAGCCAAACAGCCGACTTTTCGCCTCGCTCT